GTAATTTCGACATGGTGAGGTATTGCGGAACCTCATTGCGTTTCAACCACTAAACCCGATAGGCGTTGGTTGTTGCTTAGGGTACAATGCTCGTCGCATTTAAAAAAGACGGTTAAGAAATGGGTTATTCTGGTAACACAGAAGAAATATCGACTATACTTTAAGACGACTATTGCTTCGCTTTAATTATATTTGTAAATGCTTAAAGCGACTTCTTCTGAAAGTTCTCGAAAAGCTTTGCGTGTCTTTGCATTTCATCAAAGCCTTCAATCCACCGTCGTCAAAACCTCGAAGGACGTCCAATGATTTCCGCTCTCTTCAAGGTCGAATTCGTCACGACTAAATTTTCCAAAAAAAAAGCGTCGCGAAATGCTTTGCTGAACGCTTCTTCGGCCTCATACTTTGTCAACATCTTCTGCCTTTGCCGAGCACCACGATACAGTTTGAATCCGTAAAAGTGGTTCTCTAGAAATTGCCAATTTGACACCTGAAACTCTAAGATTTAAAATGTGTCAGTTACATAATTTATATTACAATTTAATTAAAGGGAGTGAAAGATTGTAAAATAAGCTTTGCAGTGATATATAGTAGCCTAGCATTCGATAAGAACACTTTTACCAGGACACCGAAAGAAAAATGTAACTCCGTATTCTACACTGATTTCGATCAACCTAGTATTTCTGAAAATAACCCAGACACGGGCAATTTCTCCACCATGGCGTGTATTTGCTCTCAGCAGAACATCCGGATGAAAATATAGGGCAACTCAGCATCGATCACTCTTCCGCGGAGTCATCGGCTCTGTTTGTAGCCACACACTCCAGAAAAACCCACACCCACATTGACGTGCAAGCCATTAGTATTAGGTTGCAAAATGTTAAATTCGAAGAAAAACCGCGAAGTTTGTGATCAATGCCTGAAAAATCTGCAAAAACCAGAAACAAGTGAAATTTGTTGTTTTCTTTTTCAGCAATCGCGAGGTTGTTCACACATTTCCATGCGCACAGAAATCGCGTACAACGCAGCTGTGAGTAACGTTTCGGCAGTATCGCTTCTTCAAAGCTTGGAAGGGTAGGAGCCTAGGGCTCTGAAGAAGGCGATACTGCCGAAACGTCAGCTACTGTTGTGTTGTATGTGTTGCTTATGTGGAAGTAAACGTGTGCTATATGACAACCTTGCGATTGATGAAGGAGGAAACGGCATATTTATAATCCTATGCCGAGGTTAATAGAAAGTCGATGCTGGAAACTGTTACAAGTAAAATGGTCCAAATTTCAAGCGCTATATTCCATTTCGCGAAAGTTGCACGTTTCGAAAATATTTGCAAAAATTGATGGAATTATGAAGCCTGCCTTCGTCTATATCAAACCAGACTTCATGAGGAATTGGTCAACCAGAAGAAGTACAAGGCCATAAGTTCGTCATGCCAATGAAACTGTGCCACCTCAAGTTCATATTATTCAAACTGGTTGCAGATTGTAAGAACGAATTCCGAAGAAAAACAAAAATAAAACGGATCATCTGTCCTTGCAAATGTAATGAGGACCACAGTCTTTCTCTTTCACTACCTCGTTCTAAGTATTCCGGTTAGATCATCCTTGCCCCGCTTCTCACCAACATTTCTAATCTCTCTTTGCCACTTTATCCAAGTTTATTTTGCGGAACACGTTTTCACATCTACAGTGTGGATTGCAGTACTTCTTGCATTCGATTTGTTTCCTTCATCCATCATCCATGAAGGTCTTCGAACTTTCAGGTGTGGGTTCGTCTTCTACTTGATGGTCGCCGTCTTTTTTAGGAATGTCTTTGAGAGCTGGTGGAGTCAATTCTCCATGGAGTCAATTGTCCATAGAGTTAATAGATAGCGGGTTAGATCGTTGCCACTTGAATTAGAAGAATTGGACTGCCACCAGATATTCAATTCTGATAATGATTAGCTTGCACCGATATATTGTATGAGTGCCAGCGTTTTTCACTGCCCTGCAAAATTGCATTTGGTCGTGTTGTGGTTTCAGCTGCGAATTTACGATCTCCCACAACCACTTATTAGCGTAATGAGTGCTGTGGCTTTGTACGAATTTTCCTGAATCCGACGATAGCTTTGTGACGGCGTTCCCATGTTATTATCACAGGGATCACTTTCATGCTGATGGGAAAGTTCACCACCTTGCCACTAGGATTCTTCTAGGATGCCGGAAACTCCTGCGACTAGTCGCTCGACGACGAAGACGACGAGGGCGACGGTAGTGTAGAACGATAAAAGTTGGAGAAATGGGCGGTGATTAGTCCTTTCGGGATTCGGCAAAACTCTCCATTGTGCATCGTAGAAGTAATTAGCGAACGATTTATTCCTTTTTGGCTGTTTTCTAATGGAAATGGCATACTAAGTGCTGTTGATTGAGTTATGAGCACTCAAAGAATGTGTACAGAATTAAGATCGCCAAGGGAACTCTCTTACCGCAATATACATTTAATCTTTGCTTAGCTTCGACTGTCGGTTTGTGGAATATTGTTTTGCTATTCGCTATATGCTAACTAACATAATACCGACTATTGCAGAACGGGTTATCCGTAGAAAAATAAATTATTATCAAAGGTTAGTAATTATCAACAGCAATAGTCCTGTATAAAAGAGAGCTGCTGGGGTATCATGCCTCATTGCTGCGATGTTCCATTGAAGAAGATCCGATACGACAATGAAGACGCTACCTCGAGAGCACGAATGGCTGTGGACTATCGACTCGGATTATCGGCTCCGAAGAAGACGAGGGCGTGAATCACTAGCCAAATAAAGACAATTTGTCAGCCTCGTGTAAGTTCAACAATTTAAACACTCGTTGACTGTTAGCAAGACCGTTGCTGAAAATTCCAATAATTGAGAAGCCGGAGATAATAGTGTAAAAAAAGAGAAAACACTTTCCGGAGAGTAACGCGTTCACCACCGCACCATATGGGTCCTTTGTTTTGCCTGTCTCCCAGCTACTTCTATCGATCTTTGCCACAGCAATCACCCGTCGGCGGGATTGATCTAGGGCGCCCAAATCGGCATAGAACCCAGTTAAGCTGCGGCTGGAGTAGGCAGGAAATAAAAAGGTATAACATTGGAAAACACTGTTTGACCCACGTAGCTTGCAAGCTCTGCTATTAATCGCAGAAATTTACAACATAAAATTTCAACTCTGTTTTTCCACTTGTAACCATACAGACTATAAGAGTGCGTGTGGCGCAATGGTCGGAGGCTTTCTGCGAGAGACATTTGAAATCGGTCCCCTCACCCATGGCCCACTAAGCGTTTCATCCTTGGCAAATTAGTACAAGGAATTGTCTGGGAGGGTAGCAGAACTGACACGGTGCATTAGTAGGCCACCGCGATCCATTGTAAAGGGCAGATATACATCCAATCTCCTCCAAACGACGCTTAAGGAAGTCGAATACATGGCCCATCCTTTAGGGATTGATCAACCCCGGGAGATTTATCGCTTTTTTATTTATAGACTTCATGCACAATCCCTTAACTAATAAGGAGACAGTGCTAAATGTGTGCCTATAACAAAGACGCTTTACTACTTTTAAACAACTTTAATGAGGTTCATTTCTTCGAATAGAAAATTCTACACGTAAGCACGTGGGACACTAAGGCGTGTGGGGTATTCGTGGTAAAAAGCAAAAAAGAAAAGGAATCACCCATAATGTCCAACTTTTTGCTTACTGCTTACTATTTTTTTATGCTAGGGATTTATGTGAACTATAGCTGCAATGATACTAAGGTATTTGAAAAACTTCAACTCAGATTCGAACTCCCGATTATTTTCTCTGAGGCTCACGAGGTCTCCATTGCAACATCGATGTCATTGCGTTGCTTTCTCTGCCACTCTAGTTTTTTTTTCAGATCACCCATATTTGTGGGTATTTTTTTTAATCTTATGTAATTCCCTTTATGCTCCGTTTCAAGAGTACAGTTAGATCATCATTACCCTTGTTTCTCAACTACGATTTCTCGTTCCTTATCGTCACCATTGTGTTCAGTTTCGTCTTTAATTTTTATATTGCTCTGATTACAGTAACTATTCTTCGAATAGTCTCTATCTTTTATATTATCGCGTGCTTCTTACAGTAATTCTACTTACTGATGATTACTCTTGATCTGCTATTGCACATTCTACAAATTCTTTCATGGTGACCATCTTATACACCTGTCTCTCAAGTGATTGGAAAGGAATTCTGTAACATCTATTTAACAGCTGTTCCTATGCTTCCGACAGTTCGAGCACTGAAGAAGCAGTTGCCAGCTACAAGCAATTCTGAGCATCTGCGTTTCCATTCTGCTTCTTGTATAAGCTGCTACATCGCTGTCACATATATTTCCTATAAAAGCTTTGTATAGCCTTCACAAAAATTCTAGGGTCTCCCCTTCACCATTTTTATTAGAAAGTTCGGTTAAACTCCGCCTATTCTAGAACGAATATAAGCGGCTTCATCAGTTAACTGCAGCGCAGTCCTCCCCTCGGTTCTCTCCAAAGCGCTGTCCACAGAGCTCTCTCCATAGTTCCAATCCACAGTTTTCTCCACAGATCTCTCTGTGTGTTCATCCTGTCAGAACCCTTACGATGTTCTTCTTTACTCTTGTATCCTTCGCGCTTGTTTATATCGCCGCCTCGTTAATATTGTACTGCTGTTATTTTATTTAAAACGGTAACAACACAAGCTTGAAATAGTGTTTTATGACAACACATGAAAAGTCTCCAGTGGCATATTCACACAATGCGAGCAGTCAACCAAATAGCAACTCTTACAACTAACTTTTCAAACTTTATTTTTATCACCGTCATTTTAATTCCCAGCACATTTCTCGGTGCATTGGCCTAACCACCACGGTTCTTTGTTAAACTCATTAGTATTGCAGTGGGTAAGCAATATAAATTTCATAGCCGAAATTATCGTGGTCACTTTCAGGCTTCTCACTACTCGACTACTTGGATCTTTCCTCATCTCTCGTCGAAATGGAGTGCATCCGAGAATCAGAGCTACGGGAACTATTCAAAGAGTTTGACAAGAATGGTGACGGAAAAATCACAAGAGAAGAACTAGAGGTATATGGCACTGTTTTTGTAGAATTGCAGACGTTCATAGCACAAGATACATTTCTGGAAATGCCAATTTTAGCCAATGGTTTCAGCTCGTTCTCATACAACTGGGGGAAAAACCGTCGAGCTCACAAGTCGATGCGATTATGCGTCAGACAGACACCGACGGTACTCTGTGACTCTTTGAAAATAATAAGGCCCTCGATTTCATCCGCTTGCTGAAATGCTGTTTATCGAAAGGTTAAAACACTTGCCACCTCGTGTAATTTCGAATGGTTGTGAACTAAGCTTAGAATATGGCAAACTTACCTTCACTTTCGCATGCTCGCAGTAGCCATCTATGCAGTTTTAGTAATAGACCTTTCAAGAAGTATGCCACTGGCGAAAACCAAATTGGGTAGAAATAAACTTTGTCATTAATTTTTTTCCTGTTTCGAGAGTTTAATAACTAGTATCTTTCCCAAGGGTTAGCGCCTCATCGAGGCTGAGACGTGTTTCGTCTTTTTGGGTATCGGCCTGCGATGTACAGCGTGGGATTTATCCCCTGACAAGGTCTTCCAAGCTTAGGAGACCGGTGTTTCCATTAGGAAGCCCAGCTAATAGTAAGTCACTACTACGATTCGTCGCCGTCCTGGTATCAAACTATTCGCATGGTGGCAAATCCCCTCCGATCCACAAGAGCCGCAACTGCCTGTGGTGGTGATGGCCTGGGGTAGGCTTTGGCCTGGCTGACCTCGGAACTCCAGGAACCACATTGGCTAAATCAGCAAAACTCCTGAGAAATGGAGATGACGCGGGGGCTCGCACAACCAGTACGACGGGCCATGAATGTTTCAAAGTAAGCATCAATATCATTAATATTATTGTTATTATTATTGTCATCACTATTATGTTATTATTATTTTTACTATTGTTGCTACTATTATTGGGATAGGTATTAGTATTGGTAACACTATTATTACATCGAACACGACGAACAGTTTCTAACTCTATCAGAGTATTTCAGAGTGTAGTGCTTCCATTCAAGTAAGCGTAGCGCCGACGATTCTCGTCTTGTTTTCGGTGTTTTTAGCACACTCAACTGTGTACCCTCAATTATGCACCCCACTCATGTTTGCTGTGTATCCGGCCAACGCATTTTCTCTCAAAAACATCCAAAATATGGTTCATTGGGCTCGTATAGAAATTGCTCCATTTTGAACAACACTACTGCCATGAAGCGCCTCCATAAGAATGTACGATGAGCTATCATGAATTTCATTACGTGTAAATTTGGACTTTGGAACTGATCCAGTCAGAAAGCAAAAACCACCTCTCTCTGCAAGCTTTGAGATAGATGAGAAAGGATCAGTTCCAGCCTCATTCTTGTCGGTAAGCATCATAGGCATTTTATGTGCAGTCAGTGTCCAAATCTAATTAAAGGAGACAATACATTTCAGAACAAATGCACTAATGTCTTCTTTTGTACTATCGCACACTCAAGCACCAACTCGTGCACTCAAAGTCAAGCAAGTGGTCGGAGTCTTCCCTTTAAAAGCTTGGTCCTCATCAAACATTGGTGTCGTTATATTTAAGGCAGAAAGTTTAAGCCCTCCTGTTAGCCAGAATACTGCAAGCCTTAAAAAAGCAAGAATCTACCATAATGTGGTAAACGTGAGTTGTGTGTGAGTGCAAGCGATATTTCTTTGATCTCGATGAAATTTTTGGTGCAGCTAGGGACATTCGGTTCAAAACGCTTTGTCTCATTGGACAAGCATCACCTGTGCTCTGGTGGAAAGAAGAAGAGAGCAGAGGGAGGCAGGAACAGATCTAACATAAAACAAATGATTCGCATTGAAAAAGAAACATTCGCCCAGAAAGCACACAGCTTGGTTCGCAATGAAATTGGCAGAAAGTGCAGCTGCAAAACTCATTGAAATGTGGACGTCTGAAATGAAAAACACTTGACGTTGATGATCGAATTTTGCCACTTTAGTGGAATTACTGAAGTGGCGTTGCTCATCACAAGAATTTGGACAGAAATAACGGAAAGTGGAGGAAACTCCACGGTCAGAACTTCGTTTTGGCTCCTTGGAACTGATTTTTGACTGATCTATGGCTCTTGAAATTGTGTGGTCTTGCCTTTCTTTCCTCTTACTTCATCTTTATACGTCGCTGGTATAATGGTAGCGAGGATTGGTTCAAACAATTATCACCTTTACTCTGGCTGCCATGGAATTTCCTTTTAGAAAAAAAAAAGACGGTGAAGAATTTCTTCGAAAGGATCTCACACAAATAAAAATCAGTTCAGGCTACAAATATTAATTGTAAAGCTGCTCAGTGCGTTTGTGCTGTTCGCATGAACATTCGGACATCTGCCATTGTCTTAAGGTTGCTGCAGTTTTCATGAAACTCGTCGAAGTTTTCATCAAAATCGAGATAGCGTGCAGAAGACTGATTGTAATCGTGTGCGTCAAACTCAACTTGTTATGAAGCCGTCTTCTTGTCAAAGAAGTGAACTTTTTCTTATATCGTAGCCTTAGAATTTGCACAGGACCAGATTTGCTATCGAAATCCTAGAAAGAAACATGTTACTGATTGAGTTTGAGGTTTCCGTGATTTTCGGAATTTCTCTCTGCCGAAGTGATCCTTTCAACGGAGTATTCCCATAAAAGGACTAAACTCGCAGGTATTGAAGATAGTGGAAAATCTTGATTGTACAGACAATTTCTTTCGCATGTTTAACTCTTGGAGGATTGAGGTAGCTTGGTAGATTTCGCTTGCTCAGAGGACTCGCTCAGAAACTATAAGTGTGTATATATGCACAAATGATTGAGGCTAAAGCGTTCTGCGCTAATCTATCCTTGGGTGATTCGCCATGCAGTCTACTTTATCAACTGTCTTAGAGGTGACTGGAGAAATATCTAGGCTTCACATTGGGGAAAAATCATTGGTCTACTGTTGTATCGGTTCAAGGCTGCGTGCTATACCAATAACCACGTGTGTACTGCATACACGGCGTAAGCTCATGAGTAGCTGGCTGGAAATCTCTTATTGAGTTAAATCCATGGTCAGAACTTCATTGCAACGTCAGATATGAGGTCGAATTTTTAGTTTCTAAATATACCTGGAGGAGTGAAATAAGATAACAGTGAATAATGGACTGCAGCAGCGAAGATTTTGCACATTCAACAATCCGTTATTGAAGTCGGACGAACTCACTGCTTGCAGTAGGCTATCTTACGTATCACTTTTTAACCATCCGTGAGACAACTTTTACATAATTTTCGGAATTTCGTGCAAATTTTATTTGCTTGGGACTAGCAGAGATCAGCTACGCTGGCCGAGTTTTTGTGACCCGATGATGTTAAGTACTTTGAACAGTAGTAGGCTGAATTTCTGCCGTTCACCACAATTCATGCATGAGTGGAAATGACCAAATAAATGTGTTTTTCTTAGTGCCTAAAGTCTACTAAGAATCACCTGAACCTTTAGAGTGGTCTCCTCTTGCAGATAGCAGTGTATTTTTTTCGTGCTTAGGTAACGGATGTATCGAAGTCGATGAATTCCTTCAGGCCTTTCGGAAGCAACTTCTAAATCCTCGAGAAGAAAGGGAACTGCGAGAAGTATTTGGAGTACGTTTTTTATTCTACATATTATTAAAGAGTATAATAGCTTGCTTTATTTCTATATAGAAATGGCTCGGTTACATCTCCACCATTCAGTCCTGATATTTCAATTATCCCGAAAAAGGAAGATTTCGGAATGTCCTCGTTTTGGATCTTCTACGCTTTCAAATTGACTAGTTTCGATACCAATTTTTCAAATGATAGACAAAAGACTATGGATTAAACCACAAGATATTGAGATATTTGCAACACTCCGGACCGCAGATGTCTGCGGTGGAGAACAAAAGCGCTATTACCCTTTCCGGGGGCTAACGCGTTCACCACCACACCATGCGGGTCCTTCATTTCGCCTATCTCTCAGCTGGTTCTATTGATATGTGATGGATAACGAGCTAGCTTTTTAAATTATTAGTGTAGTTTTAAAAGGTAAAAGCGCGTTCGTCCCCCACCGCAGACACATGCGGCCTGGAGTTTTGCAAATATCTCAGCATCATCAAAGTAATAAGCATTGATTTTCTGTTCTATGCTGTACCGTAGATCGACAGGGTAACTGAACAGTCGAGTCATCATTGTGGTTGAGTCACACATAATCCTCTACCGTGAAAAATGATAATAGGCGGTAAATAAGAAGTTAACACTGTGGATTAAGTTTTAGTTCCTGCTTATTCTTTTTTCATGGCAGGCTACTAAAGGAAAGGCAATAACAAAATAAAATAAAATTCGCGTCATTAAATGAAAATATGCAAAGTGTGGCTCGTTAATTGGAGGTGTAACCGTCCTGGTATCAAAGTCGCATGGTGGTAAATCTCCCTCTGATCCACAAACGTTACCTTCCCTGGCCACGTGCGATCTAGCCGTCATCACTGTTCGTAGTTCAGGGGAAAGATTTCAGAGTGTTTTTTTCAACCGGTGGGGCATTTTAAGATCTGATATTGTGTTTCGAAATAGGAAAGGTTACTTTTTTTTACTTCTTTTATAGAACTTTGCGGGCATCGAAATGCCACGACGAATGGTGATAGAAATTTGTATAGATATCGGCGCAATTTATTTAGACAACTTCTTGTTAATGCATCTCCAACACTTATTTTGACCTTCTATGTTATCCTGGAAACATATTCTGACATTTACTATCAGGCATAGGAGATGTGTTACGGCTATGTTTAGTTCCTTAACAATTTGATCTGCAGAGATGTAAGGTTTAACTTTTAAAAAGGAAAGGAATTAAGGCAGGCCTATCAGTTACAGATTTGAACTCTTTCGATGAGGTACTCGTAAAAATCAACAAGATCTTCTTCAGCTCATCTAATACTTATTTAAGCAACTGCTTTGTCTAGACAGTCCTCTTAAGTACCAGCCTCTTTTCATTCCTGAAAGTGATAAAACAGCTTTTCCGGTTTGTTGTTAAATTAAATAAGCATGAATGGAAGTAGGATGGAATGTTGGCACTGCAAAAGTTTCAAAGAGTATCATCTTCGGTTTGCTAGAATGTGATGGATATCTGCGACTGTCATGACATTAAGCGACTCCCATGAACAATCGGGGCTATTCTACTTCTCAAAGAATGGATTTCCATTAAATAGGCATCTTGTGGATCGAATAAGGCGCTCTCATTTTAATCTCTTATTCCAAAATTATCAGTTCTATATTCAGCTTCACTTTTATTCGTGAACTGACACGAAATATTCCGACGGAAATTTTTTGGACCGCTATGGACCACCTTTTCAGGGAAATCCTGCGTGCTGAGGTGCCGAGCTCAGTGTATTTTCTGCTGATTTTTATTTCAGTTGATAAAAACAAAACCGAGACATCTTCCAACTGATTATAAGGGCAGTATAACCCATTATAGAACCCCGCTACACAGGGTCGGTGACTAGGAATTAATGACCCACCTTTGACGCTTATGGAACCGTGAAACGGAGACGGCAATAACTATGTGAAGTGGGTGTGAGGTCACATTTGGTTTTATTTGGAGCCTTGAACTACCCTTGCAAGTGTGTCCTCAATTCGTCAACAAATGCGGTTCCCAGTTATTGTGAAATTCAAGGAAGTTCGCTTCACTACGGTTACGATTTCTAGCATTCGTTTACTCTTAGTTTAACTTGCAATTGTAAATATCAAATATTTCTGAGGTTAACTGACCCAAGCAAGAGATAAACCTTTGCCACGCACAACAGTTTCAGGACCTGTACAAAAACAAAAACTCCACATTTAAAAGAGCTCATATTTTTTTAAAGGTGCGTAAAGTTACGAGAAACGTAGAACATTGATGAAATTTCTTGATTTCAGGTGTTTGACAAAAACGGCGATGGTTTGATTTCGGCCGAAGATTTGCTTATGGTGATGCATTCGTTAGGAAAGAAACTCAACGAAGCCGATGCCCATGATATGATACGGGAAGGAGATGTTGACCGCGACGGGATGATTAGCTTCCACGGTGAGAGTGATAACAGAATGTTAGAAATTTGAGTCCGCCCACTCATCATCCTTTTTGAGCATCTCGCTGGCAGTAAGATAGGGCTGCGACATAATTTCCTCGCAGAGACGAAAGAAGTTATGAAAAGGAAATCAGAAATTCAATTCCTCGCCAAGCTAATAGGAAAATCGATTTTGAAGAGAACCAGCGACTTCGCTTCTTCTCGTCTATGTGTTCTTCCGAGGGCCACCTTTCTATCAACCTGACCGTTGACCCGTTGAGTAATTTACTTCGATGTTTTTCTTCAGTAAGCAGACACGAGGTTGTTATTGAAGAATTTATTAGGAAACAATAGCTGACGCTTCGGCGGTTTCGCCTTCTTCTGAGCCTGGAAAGCTCTAATTGAGATGCGATCTACCCAGCCAAACACTTTCATAACCCTAGCAGATAAAACTCAACAAATTTGTATTCGTATAAGAAACAGCTTCATTTAAACACCTACCGCTTATTTGTTGTATTTAAATTAGTTGGTGGATAGCCGCCGCACAGAGTAATACATGGGCGATAACTGTGTCCATGTCAGGTCATTGGATCAGCCTGAGGTATGGCGCCAGGTCACGCGTGATGACAAGACACTCCTCCTTGCGGTTCATTTTTGAATTTTTGGCATTGATCCAAAACGCTTCAAGAGTTTTACGCGCTGATGTTTTCGATTCCTGCGTAAGGATAGTGACTCCTACCTCAAAATCTTCTCCGTTGTGTTCTTGCATCCTATGCGCGCCTAGTGGAGTATTTTGTTTTAATTTAGATTTACCGACTAGGTGTTCTTTTATGCGGACGCAGAGCGGTCTACCCGTTTCGCCAACATATTCGTGCCCGAACGCTTTACAGGAGATCAGGTAGACTGTACCCGAACTCATGCAATCACCGTCTCTACCATTTGGACAAATTATCCAGTTTTTTTTTTCCGGGGAGTAACACGTTCACCACCACACCATGCAGGTCCTTTGTTTCGCCTGTCTCTCAGCTATTTCTATCGATCTTTGCCACAGCAATCACCCATCAGCGGGATTGATCTGGGGCGCCCAAATCGGCATAGAACCCAGTTAAGCTGCGGCTGTAGTTGAAATCACAATGTTATACCTTTTTATTTTCTGCCCACTATGATTTCGCCGCAGGGTACTAAGCGAAATACAACCACAACGTTGCTAAGATATTTGCAAATCTCTGGACCGCAGGTGTCTATGGTGGGGAACGAACGCGCTATTGTCCTTTCCGGGGAGTAACGCGTTCACCACCACACCATGCAGGTCTTTTTTACTTTTTTACGAGATTTGAAAATATCTCAGCAACGTTGTGGTTGAACTTCGCTTAGTATCCTGCCGCGAAATCATAGTAGGCAGAAAATAAAAAGGTATAACATTATGCAGTTTTTTGTTGTACATAGACGGTCGTATAGGCGGTTGCGGACTAGTTGGCGTCTTAGAGTGTCCGATGGTATTTCTATCACTCTTACGGAATTCTCTAGACCGGCCCTTATTAAGCAGCGTTTTATAGCTGCACTTATTTCGTTTGAAATAAAGGGCAACAGGAACGGAGCCTTGTTTTCGCTAGAATTATCGCTCTGGTGCGTGGGATTTCCTCGATGCCTATCCTGAGAAACTACAGTTTCGTAACCATTTGAAATGGCTATTTGTCGTGCCAGTTTCGAGGATTCCTCCCTCTGCTCTCTACCTGTGCACACGCTGGCGGCGGTTCGAAACATATTTCTTATAAACGCCCTTTTAGTGTGTGAGGGGTGAGAGGATCAGTAATGAACCAATATATTCTTACTGCTTGGCTTTCGATACCATTTTGTGTTGTAGCCGTTCTCGGATAGGTTAATTTGAAGGTTTAGAAATGGAAGCCAGTTTTCTTTCGGTTTCTCACGGGTGAATTTTATGTACTCTGACTGTTCATTCAATAACTTAAAGCATTTGTCCATCTCCTCTTGTGTGGAGCAGATGACAAAACAATCATCTATATACCTACAGTAGAGTAATGGCGTGAGATCGATTACTGGTGCTTCCACTTTAGACATAAAGGCAACGGCAAGGGTTGGTGCCAGTCGCTGTCCCATTGCCAACCCTCTAATTTGCGCGTAATATTTCCCGGACCATCTGAAGATCGAGCAGTTTAAACAGACCTTCAGGAGGACCATAAGCTGCTGAATCGAAAAGCCATACATGTTAATTGCTCCTTCGTTTTGCTCAAGAAACTCGCGGATGGTTCGCATTGCGGAGTCGTTCAACACGTTAGTGTAAACAGCGGTAACGTCGAACGACTCCATAATGTACGCGCTTTTGGGACGTGAGTTACGCAGACGGTCTACGAACATTTGGGTGTTCGTGAGATGGGCTGGTATGTGCCTAAGCAACTGGTTGGGGATTAGGTTTATAAACCAAGCAATTCTATCCGTAGGCCCGTCTACACAACTTATGATGGGTCTCACTTTAAAAGTGGAGGGGTCGGTAGACGCCAGATCATCAGCGCGTATTAACTTATGGGTCTTGATAAGTAAGTATAGGACGGGACATGTCGGCACTTCGATCTTTAGATGCAAAATGTGTGCTGGTTTTAAACCTGCTGCACTTGCCGTTTTGACCCATTCGCTGTTCAGTTTTCGATTTTGACTTCTGAATTCCTTTTCAGTAGATGCGCGATAAAAAGATGCGTTTTCGATGCTGCTTAGTACCCTGCCGCGAAATTATAGTAGGCAAAAAATAAAAAGGTATAACATTGTGATTTCGACTGCAGACACAGTTATCGACCATGTATTACTCTGTGAGGCTGCTATCCATCAAATAACTTAAATACTTGCAACAAATAAGCGGTAGGTGTTTAAATGAAGCTGTTTCTTATGCTAATGCAAATCGAATTGTCAAGTTTTATCTGCTAGGGTTATGAAAGTGCCTGGCTGAGTAGATCACATTTCAATTTGACCTTTCCAGGCTCTGAAGAAGGCGAAACCACGGAAACGTCAGCTATTGTTTGGTTTCAATTTAAATTTATCGTTTAGGCGTTTTATCGAATTATCAATCAATGTCGAGGTTAAAAGAAAGGCGGTCATGGCAATAATTTACTGTTTCTAGGATAAGCAAGCTAACGTTTCGATGGATTTTTCTTTTTCCCCTTACATAGCTGCTTCCGAAGCAATTGCAGTTTAGGCTTCGGGTTTCCTCTTGAGGAAGTATTTCTGACTAGATTTTGCACCAACTTAATCTTTCCAGGCTCTAAAGAGAGCGAAATTCACAGCAACATAGCCCATCGTAAAATAAACGTTACCTTAAAAATATCGTGTCTGCTTATCGAGGAAACAGTGAATTGTTGTTTCTCTTCGTATTTCAAGAATTGTCTTTGTTGGAAATAGATCCAATTTCTTAAGTTGTCCTTTCTTGTGACGAAGAATTGGATATTCCTGCAGCTGTGAACCCTCAAACCGTGCAATCATAGCGCATGGTCGAGGGCGTTCGTTGAGGACTGTAGGTTAGACGCCGCAAGGCGTCCAGGTTTTTCTGGCCCGGTTTTAACAAGTGTGGCAAAAGCCTCTTACTGACATTGCCAAGTAGTCGTCTTGATCGTTAGAGAAATTCTAGAAGTCCTACTTTTTCGGGGAAGAAGTTCTACCTTCAGGGATCGCTACATATTTCGAAGAAAGCTCATGAATAGTCGTTAATCACTTTTTTAAAAGCAAAATTTTTATTTTCAGAGTTCATCATACTCATTAAAGGACGGTCATAAAATACAATGGGCTCTCCAACTTGTAACAAAGTTGTTCCCCTTTTCTTTCACTACTTAAAAATATGGGAAATCCAAGGATAAAGATCTTGTATCACTAGATTCTCTTTCGAGGTTCCCATTTGGAATGGCATCGACGTTAACGATTTTTATTTCTGTTTTGTTGAATGTCAATGCGCCTTACGACTAATTCTCAAATAAAGTCGTGGTTTCAATTTCATTTCATATTTGAGTCGCTTCAACCCGCTTCCTCTGAATGCGAATGGAGCAGGGTCCAACAGATTAGCTTTTTTCCACTGTCCATTTTTCGATCGAATGACGAAAGCATTGTTTTAGACGATATTAGATTAACGATAAAAGTAGGATTTACAACCAGTAATTCGAAAAAATTAGTTTATCAGTTTGTTCTTTATAGATAGAGCTCTAAATTTCTCAGCATTGATCTGTCGCTGAGGGATGCGCCATACATTCGACTTCATTAAGCATCGTTTGGAGATGATCGGCTGCATATCTGGCCTTTACAATAACTCACCGTGGCCTACTGATGTGTTGAACCAGTGCTTGTGTTCTCCCAGGTAAATCTGGTACTAATTTGCCGACTCCGGAGGGATGGAAGGCTTGGTGGGCCACGGGCGCGGAGACCGATCCCATGTGTGCATCGCAGAGCGCCTCCGACCACTGCGCCAGACGCACCCTTTTCTTCTTAGATATATTCCAAGAATTAAACTGGAATGATTATGCTTATGATCAAAACTATACATTTTACAACTATCATACAAAGAAATGGCAGAGGTAACGCTGTAGTAAGAGGGGTCTTGCGATACACACAGGATTAGCCATTCGTTCGAACCCGTGTAGCAAGCCCACTAAGCCCTGCATTGTTATGGAATCTGCTAACTGGTACCACAGTTCTATGGAAGGATAAGAATACTGGCTTGGCGCACCGATAGCTTATCAGAAGTCGTCGTTCAGACCAAATACGCACTCACTTCTGCGTTGCTTGATTTGAGTCGAGTGCATGACTCATCCATCAGAGATTCCCCAACTCCTAACATTCTATCTTTTATCCTCCATTTTATAAAAACTACGAATTTTGTATCAGAGTGGCTGTCATTTGCGCAATACTTAATACATAGACGAGAATTTTAACAAGAAAGAGGAAGAATTGGAACATGAATTATTCGATAGCCATGGAATAGGCAAAGTATACACGATATTGTACCAGACCCAATGAGTTTCAGAAGAGCGTCATCAAAAATAGTTCTCAAGTAACCCTCCCACATAATGAAACCCTCCTGCGACCAAACTGCCAAAAAGAAAATTTCAGAAAGGCATCACAATGTTCGGGGCGAAGATAACGCAACGATTACTGGTGCCCTCGATTAGGAGGCAAAGGCTCCCTGCCCTAACGCCCCCTCCACTCCATGTGGTAACACCTTAGCCCAGCTATCTCCAAGATTGCAATAAAAATGGACTCGAGCGGTATTCTACGATACTTATACGGAAAATAAAATCCTTAAGTAGCAGCCGAAACAACACGCGAAATGTTCGAGGACCACTGTCGACGATGTGTACGAGGAAAACGAATAGAACGCAAGAAGTGATAGGATCGACAGAGTGGATGTGATTACGGGTGACTTAAAATGCAAAAAAAAATGAATTTTTTATTGTGAAGTAAATGAGAAATGTCATGTTCTTTAAAATATTATCCGCTGTCACAAGCGAGGTCACGTATTAAAATAATAAGGAACTGCTATAGAAACTGAGTTTCTCGAATGAAGCACATGAGCGTGTGTTGGAAAATCCGTTTGCGTAGTCTGCAATTTGTGTCTAAGGGCAACTAAAGACCTAGTTGTTGGAGGCGATCTGCAATCACTCGTCAACGGGATTGATGGCAAAAGATCGATAGAACTAGCTGAGAGACAAGCAAAACGGAGGACCCGGATGGTGGGGTGGTGAAGTGCGCTACACCCCGGTAAGGACAATAGCGCGTTCGTTCCCCACCGCATACACCTGCGGTTCGGAGTTTTGCAAATATCTCAGCATCATTGAAGTTATATTTCGCAATGTATACCCTGCCGTTAAAAAGAATAGGCAGTAAATAATACCTTAAATTGTGATACACATGATCATTGCTTCAATCAATCGCACTAGAAACGCCGAGCGTCGTACATTTCCAGAGTCGTAATCCTATTACCTGCCAAAATAGTAGAAGTACAGATCTCTAGCATTCGTACGCCCATGCAAGTCACTGTGGCGGACATTTATTTAACGGTCCAATCAACTGTGAAGCACAATCTGACCTATGCCTAAAGGGTTAATCACTGTGGCATTATACTTTTTTGGAAACTACAAGTGAAACCACGTTCGACCAGCACTTAGTGTGTCAGGGACAGCCGGAGCGGTTAAATCAGTTGTGGTCGAATCCATATACGAAACCGAACACTTCTGTAGAAGAACCTTGCAAGAAAGGAATAGTGAAGGAAACCGCACGGAATCTGGAAACCTGTTATTTAGGTTTTCAATAACTGGCCCAAATGGTCTAGCGCCTCAATATGGCTGCGAAATTTTCCTATGAATTCAACTGTAATATATAGAAGAGTTATCAATGAAGAGGAATTCAATACTGCCAAACCGAAACCCAGCTGAAGTAAGCTTATGCCAAGCAGAGACTGGTGAATTAACTGTGGCCAAATTTTCGCAGGGAAAAATACGCTATAATAAAAGGCAGCATACTAGAAATGTACTTTTTTCCTTTTTAATGAACCGATAAACGATCCGACGTTACTGCGTTGACGAAGAGGTCGAAAACCGAGTTGGTTGAAAACACGGTGAATCGTGACACCTGTTGGACGCTATAGCACTTAGTGGCAGGATCCTAGTGTATGTCATTACACATTAAGTATCATTTCACAGGCGGGACTTATTACAAGGCTCCGTTGATGAGAGACGGATGGGGACATTTATCAGGTGTTCTCTTGAGAAATTCAATGCGAACTGAAAGCAGAAAGAGCTATGCCGATGATCATTTGGAAATATGTCGAAAGCGCTGTATTCTATGCTGAAACTTGCACTGATAGCAGGTTTTCTATGTATGTATGCCCATTCTAAAAAGAATGGTAGGTCAAGGAGGATCACAAAAGCTATGAATGTACCAACACTTCCATCACTTCGGGATCGGAAAATTGATATCAGACTTGTCTGGGAGGTGTGCAGCACTGGCTCGATACATCGGTAGGCCACCGCGAGTCATTGCAAAGGCCAGATTTAATCATCTCCAACAACGCATCTTTTATTATTTTTACTTTTTGTGTTATCCGTTTTCATGTCCACTGTGCGGATCCCAGCACTTCTCACATTCGTTTCGTTTCCTGGTTCCTAAGTCCACGAAGATCTTCCAACTTTCACGTATGGCTTCTATTGCTGCCTGAGGATTTTCACTTCGTTATGAACGTCGTAGAATGCTGGTCGAGCAATTCTCCCTGGAGTCCTGAGATAGCCTGGCTGGAGCGTTACCAATTGAATTCCAGGAAGTGATTTTTTTTCCCTAGAAGAGTTTGGTACCAATTTCTCAACGCTGAGGGATGAGGATCTCGGTTGGCATGGACTGGGATCGAACTGGCTCCATGCTCGTGATGATGGGCATCATTAACACTGTGCTATCCGCACCTACAACGACGTATGATAAAATCGAATGCATGGCACATATCTTAGAGAACAATCAACTCTGAGGACTTTATCCATGTCCTTATGAATGTGGGAAACGAAGGATAAAAATGGAAAAAAGAAAAATCTTTTTAAAAAAGTGTGGAAGTAACCAAGTTCACACATTTAACCGGCATATCGTTTATTCACGGCGTTACTATTACCATTTCGTACAACACACGCCACTTCGGAAAAATGGAAAGAAATGACATCAAGTGTGACAGGCCTGAAATGAAAGTGTTTTTAGCAACGAACTCAAATGCTTCCATTACACTTAATGGACACTCATCGACTTTTCACAGTCGAACGACACAAATTGAAAATTTCTGCAGAAAATTTTTTTTGTTTCGGTTTCAAAACAAAATATGATAGAGGCTGTTTAAAACTTTTTGCTACTCCTAAGCGCGAAATTTGAACCAATCGTTTTTTTTCGAATCGAGTATTTTTGGCCAGGTTTTTATTATTAAAAGAACTTTTTTTTACTGAATATGCACAGCAATGTTGGGAGTACAAGTCGGGTAAGTCAATCGAAACCAGACAAAGCATGAGGTTTTCATTTTAATTTAACGAATTCGACAGGCTTCGAGGGAGGTGAGAGCATCAGGGATGCTGCCACCGAAATCCTGCTCTTGCAAGATTAGGATTCCGACACTTCCTTCATAAATATCTGTACACAAAGAAAACGCTACGTCATTTTGTTCCTGCCTTCTTTGGCCTTCTAGATTTTTGCGTGGGCGTTAAGTGGAACACAATCTGTGCCTCATCCTGACCAATAGTCAAGAGCAACAGCGTACAGAGTTGAAAACAACCGCCTTTTATAGGACCACAAGGCAAACGAATGTTTTCAGTTCACTTTTTAGTTCGAAAAACGAAGAGCTTTTGGGGCAATCTCTGGCTTTATCTCCTATCTTCCCAATCTTTTCTCTCATTATTTTTCACATTAGTTATCGGTAAAATATCAAATTTTAGAGAGAATATCGTTCACCTTTACGGCTTTCTGGCTGTGTAAACGTCTCTGCTGGGCTCATTAGGGAGTGAAGGAAAACTAGGAAGAGCTCTGAGATCCTTCATGGATTCTCCTGAGAAATCACGGAAACGCTGTAACATACATATACTACAGATAGCAAAACTGAACAAAGTCTGGGTTATCTAATCTGAAAGCTGTGTGGATATAAGTGAAGAATAATACAACTATAAGGATATACGAACTATACGGAGATATCACGTAGGAAATTCTTTTAACCTCGACATTGATCAATAATTCGTTGTTTTCCTTCATGAGCAAACACGAGTATGGAATCACGGTTCTATTTATCCTGCCCTTTCTTTCCAAGGAAATAAGCGCAGCTATAAAGTGTTGCTTTAGACGGGTCGGTTTGTAAAATTCGGCAACAATGATTTGAATACCAACTGGCGCTCTGAGACGCCAGTTACTTCGTAACCACCTAAATCACCATGTGGAACGAAAAATTGCAATAATATGCCTTGACGGTAGAGATGGTGATTGCACGAGTTCTAGCACGGTATAGTCACTATCCTCGCACAGAATACCAGAACATCAGCTCGTACAACTCGTGAAGCATTTTCGATTAATTCCGAAATTCCAAAAATGAACCGCAAGGAGTGCCCTGTGATCACACGCAACCTAGCGCCATACCCCAGGCTGATTCTTTGACCTGATCCAGGCACATTGCTCGCCCATATAATAGGTCTTCACCAATTAACTGGAAAACCTACAGGGAACAAAACTGTGCGTGTTTAAAAGAATTATCAAAATGTTCGGCTGAGTAGATTCAATGTCAGTTTGACGTATTTAGGCTCTGAAGAAGGCGAAACCGCCGAAATGTCGGCTATTCCCTATTAGTAGATGCTGTAATACCAACCTCATGCGTGTTGATCAAGAAAAACAGTGAATTACAAGGAGATACTTTCTTGGATTATTGAGATAACACGAGGATGGCGAACAAAGTATGGAGGTATAGTCCAAATTTTTACCGGCAATAGCTCGAAAATCACATAAGAAATGATTTCGTGGCGACGCCTATGATCTCACAAAATCTTTCAGGTGAACGATTTCGGTTGAACCAATTAGACAGAAATCCCTATGGCCCATCGTATGTGTGCACAGAAGACAGTTGAGATAACTGTAGTCGAAAAAAGAAACGAACTGGTGGAAAATTAATTCTGATGGTTGTTTTACTAAAACTTTCATGTTCTATTTCGTGTCCACTTTTTTGTTTCAAAATGTACTTCATAAATAATCATAAATACGAAAACGAAATAACTAAATGACCGTACAAAGCAATCGCTGTTGCCCTCCTGAGATCCGGCATAACTGAGCGGTATCCTTGGTTCGAAATGCACATCCAATCTGTTCAAATCAGCCACAGAATCGACCCCACGTATGTGCTTGTTGATCGTCTGAAAGACGTAAACAAACTAAATCTTGCTCATCAAAAGAAAGCGCGTAAATGAAAACGCGAGACTGATTGCTCATTTCCACGTCGTCGCTGTAATTCCCTGGATCAGGTAAACGCGACAATTCCCGATGGGATCCTTTGGTCCTGTTGATAATCATTTATTTTAATCCCAAGTATCCCATTTTTAACAAGAGTTAGAAAGTGAGTACAGCTACGAAGAAATGTTCTCAACATTGAATTTGATTTAACCTCGTCATTGGAAGATAACATCTAGGAACCACCACAACGTTGTTGCAAAACTCCGCTTTCGCTGCCGTCTCAGCACCATAGTCCTTTTCAGAGCTCTGATTCGAGCAGAGTGTTTGCTGCAGCTGTCGCTTACCATATTAGTTTCAGCAGTCGACGTAACGAGTCGAGCCGAGCGGAGTGGGGCAAGATTTGTAACAAAATCGCGTAAGCTCATCAATGTTCAATGCAGTGTTTCCCAAGAGCCGCCCACTATCAATTACCAGCCATTTCAGTCTTATATTAATGACAGCCACTGAATTAACTCTCTTAACTAAGGGATGACTGTAGGGAAAAAAGGTCTTTACATAAAGCACTCGATTCGTTATGCTGCGCTATCAGCTGGTGTCCCAGTGACATTACTGTCGACATCCCGCTCTTCTGCACTCGCTGTTCGCAGTATGGTAGTGTTTTCCGCCTTGACAGTGTTTAGAGGAGAGCGCGTAGCTGTGCAGTATTTATCTAAAGTGCTAGTTTTGAAGGAATAGATAAACAACCTCACCTTGTTGTTCGGAGTGGTTGGTCGTCGCAGAGGAACTTGTTGTGGATTAGGACAAAATTGATTCGGGATTCTCATATTGTCCGTTTCAGTATCCACTTTACTAAACTCAGACGACTGCAAAGGCCACATTTGAGGCAGTAAGGTTTTTTTCATTTTCCAGCTCGTAATACAAAAACAAGTTAAGCATTTTTTAAATTCTTACACTGTTTCTATTTTTGTAAAAAAAAGAAATATCACAGAGTTTATTAGAGGACATGATCGAGAAATATCTTTCAAAAAACAATGAAACCATACTGATGATGACGGTGCCTTCATAGGACTGTTGAGGTGGTATGGAATGCCCAAATTGTACATCGGAATAGGCACTTGATAGTGGTACAAAGCAGTTGGCGGCCGGTAGTAGTAATACGGATTCACCTAGATTTGACATTAATGAATAAAAAAGTATTAGATCAGCATAGTGCACAATGAGTAACACATCTGCTTAAATTTTTACCATAAGAGTCAAATAGGAAGAAAAGAATGACGCTAAAACATAGTCCTATCGACCTTTGGCACTTTTCACACCACATTGGCTTCGTTACCAATTCGAGGACAGCTGCGCTTCTTGGTTTTTAGGCTCCCCAATGCAAATGGACTATATAGCTTCACTGAACTCGAACTCGATCCAAACGTGACCATGTTTCTTGCGACACTGGTGGCCTGTTAATTCATGTGTCTGGCCTCCAATCTGTGCCGTAGTAATCCGATTTGTACTCTGTTTTCTATTTAGACAGAAGCGTAACTTTTCAACTTTCGCCAGAGCGCTAACACGAAAAATGTCGCAAACGTTGTTTCCATGAGTGGAGTTTTCGATTGTTCCGGAACGCAGCACGTACAGGTAGAGACTTTAGTGGTGCTACCTGTAGGCAATTGATGACAAACGAGATCATATGCAGTAGAGATGGTATGGTTATTTGTCTCTATTTCTTGAACGTATGCTCCACCGAGCCACATATCTAAGCTCATATCATTTCTCCATTCTATTCCCTTTTCGAGAAACTGACTAGAAGTGAGCATTTAAACACCAGTACATCCTGAGATCGACAAACAATTGGGTAAATATAAAAGTAACCTTGCAGTCATTATCCTAATTGAGCATATCGACAAATAATATTGATAGGGGCCAGGTGAATGGGGATTATCACAGAGAAAATGACCATACTTTTTATTGTACATCAAATTCTGAATATCTGCATGCGATCATGCAAGTCCTACATAATTAAGGAATTTGTACCGAAGTGATTATTTCCACTGAGAAATAGAGCAGAGAAAAAAACTTATGTGTTACGGAATAACTCCACTTGAATCCTCCAACATAGGTAGGTTCACACTGATCGCCTGTGTATCGATTCCACACTAACTTTCATTCTTCAATCCTTGCCCAAAGTGGCGAACGCTCCACCCAAATGAAGTGAGGAGCATTAACGCAGTCTAGCACCATCGTTCTCTCTCATTCTTCACCACTACGCTCTGTACTCAATTTCTGGTCTTCATCGACACTCCAATTTTTAAATTTTACATGACCTGTCTTCGCAAATGCTGTGTAGATTCCAGCACTTCTTGCACTCAATTCGTTTCCTCGCATCTGTTATTCACGAAGGTCTTCCAGTTTTTTCAAGTATGAATTCGGCCTCTGCTTAAACATTTCGTATTCTTTACCAATGTTGTAGAATTCTGAGCCAGTCGATTTTTCCTTGAGTACTCATCCAGCATGGCTAAAGTGTTTCCACTTGGAATTCACGAAATACCGTTCTCCAACAAGTCTGCTATCAATTTTCCGACCCTGGAAAACTAAGAGACTCGGTGAGGCTGAAGTGGGGTCGAACTTGCACAGTGTTCGTGACTAATGGTATCACAAGCATTCAGCTATCTACTTCTCTTAATTGACTTACAATTTCGAAAATGGCTCAGGACCGTTTCATTCCCAAACCCTATATAAGCAGTGTTGGACAAGTGTGACAGGCAAAAAATAGAAGATTTAACTAAAATGAACTAGCTAATACACAGTAGCTTTCGCCCATTTCAAACGGCGTATAAGCACTACCAGCTTTTAAAGAAACCACTGCCCACTCCTCACTCTTACTCTTTCACCACCACCGTAAGTGGACGTTTCTTGTTCTCCATAAGTACATCTCTTGGTGTTACTTCCACTGCCACATGTATTCATGGTTCTGTTTTCAGCTGCACATTAATTTTCAATGTACTTCCTTTGGTCTTCGTATGCACACTAAGCTCGGTATATAGGTGTTACACGGAGGAAGTGAATCTTTTTTCCTTGGTAGGCAATATTTTTCTAAACTGTAAATTAGTAATTGCAAGGAATCCCACATGAGGAGGTGGCATGGAAAGAGCTGGTGCATAATAAGGCGCTGGCATCATCGGTTGACTGTATGACGTATAGTCGTAATCACACTCGGTCTAAAACAGATGAGATTTCTCAAATTTCAATTTAAATGTCACGTGAAAATTTTAAATGGAAGGAACGAAAGGAAAGAGAGGTAGATGGTACCGGTTGTGTTCTATATGGAAAGCTGTACGCAGTGTAGTCATAGGCGGAATTCGGCTGAAGCATAACACTGTTTAAAAAGGAGAAAGCTCTTTCTTTTACCCGTTCCAAATTTCACTACTCACCAAAAGATATGGTGGTCCAGGATCTACCATAGACGGTCGTGGAGAATGATAATCAACCTGCTAAAAATCATATTCAGCTGGAAATTTTGATGAGGCTAACTTAGCACTTAACGCCCAACGTTCAAGATTCTCGAGGCGACACCTAATACTATTGCTATTGCATAACGAGTAAAATTCGCTCTAATAAGACACAGCAAACAAGGACTATGTCGACTTTTTTTGGCAACTTTCGCATTTTTTCTACAATTTAAGAATTTGAGGAATTGGGAAATTAGAAGACCTATAGGGGAATTTGCTAAATTGCTGATGGATACACCTGTTCGGATACTATGCTCTCTAAAAGTCACGAGCCGATCATCGCTTTAAATCAAGTTTGCTGGTCAAGTGAAGTTTACAGCTCTGGATCATATAGAGAGATGAAGAAATGAACATTCATCAACGCTTATCAAAAGCGACTATGAGGAATTTGGGAAGCGCAGGACAACATAAGATCTTTTGTGCTATCCGCCAAAGCAAGTGAATTGAGGATGAATACGGTGTTGTTCACGATGATTACAATGAAGCCAGAGATGACTGGTTTAACAATGTAACCCCTCGCAATCACAAGATACTAACAATAGTTTGTCCGGAGAACATTTTCTTCAATGCCATTATTAAAAATGAAATTCGTGGCTGACATTTGGGAGCTTGTGTTGACCGAGACCTACAACTACGACTTATATATAGAAAGATGTGATGTGGAAATCGACATAAATTGAGATAAAGAATTTTATCGATCTCTGCCTTAAGATCATAGTCGTCAAACGTCAAACTACCACATTCCAAGGCTTACTGGAGTTCGAATTCTTGCATTTCATCCTACTGAAGCCCATGTTACGATGATAGATTTACTTAAAAGCCTGTCAGTGAAGCTGCAATTTCTCGACAGCGCTATATATAACCGAGGACACAGGTTGCACATGATCTTTTAGAGAATTTACCGTTTGAAAAAGCAGAGATATAAAAAGCCTTGGAAACACCGTGTGTGCCAACGAGTCTATCGTTCCCTTTCGACTTTCAATCGCCTTCCCTCAATACTTTTCCCATAACATAGATAACTTAGTACTAAAGTTATTTAAATAACGCTCATAAAGTGGTTAAACCTGCTGGTAGAAAACACTCCACTGCTTAAGAGGTCGCCTTTGAGGATGTGGATTAGACCTATGTACGATTTTCTGAATGAAGTCATGCCAATATGACAATAATTGGAGCAAAAGCCTTCCCATTGTTGAGGATCCATTGCCGATAAAGACCGAGCTTAATTTAGCTGTATGAAAATAAAGTGCTCTTCCAAGCATTGCCTCAACCAGAGGCTGAGCATTGGATATAAGCATAGCATCGAAGCTGTAGCAGTGGTTAGCGATGAAGTCTAATAGGAAGCAAGGTTTTGGTTCAACTCCTGTAACACTCTTCTCCACCCTAAGTGGGAACGTCTTGGCTCGCCTAACTACATGATTGAGAATTCTGTGACAATCGTAAACAAGATGAAATCCTCAAATAGTAGCTGGGGCAACACGCGAAATGTTCTCAGACCACTGTGGACAATGAAGGCGGGGATAACGATTTGTATGCAAGACGTGTTGGGATCCGCACAATAGATGTGATGACAGGCCATATAGAAAAAAATGCATAAATTGTAACATGTAGACCGTAAAACAAACTTTCTCGGGCACAGCATTCAAAAGACCATTGAAACACTGAAGTAATCAGACATGGTAAAATCCAGAGCTGCTTTTAAAAGCAAGTTGTGTTGAATCATATTGCCAGATGCGTATCCCTCGAGTCACTTTGAAGAAGTGTCCACATCCTTTATCATTTTATTATAAAGAAAAGCTGCTATTAAGGGGCGTTTAATTCTTGAAGAATTCCTCACTTGCGCGCGAGGTCCCTGATAATCCATTGCATATTGACTCCGCATCTAGGAAGAAAAAACGTTAATTTAAAAGAATCGTGAAAGCGCAGATGAAAAACCTGGTTGGTTAAGTGACAAAGTGAGGAGAGAAGAGAAAACGTCGTACTTGGCATACATTAGGTGATTCAAAAACATAGTGACTACTCTGAAATTAACAGTAACAATATAGGCAGAGGTATAACCGTTAGAACATCTACATATTGGTAAACTTCACCGACAGCCTTCATTGGATGATTGTGACGCTGGTCCTGAAACGATCACATTAAACTATCAGAAGGCGATGATCTGAGGTTGAATGACACTGCGGATAAACTCTACTTGGTCCTGCACAAAAGGATTAGGAATGCGTTCCAAATCGTATCTTGACTCTGCGCTAAAATGACGCCTTCTCCTATCTTGAGGTCCCTGAAATTCTTCACTTTTGAGAAAATTTCATGCACTGTCGGATGTGTTTGCAACCAATCACAATACTTCGTGAATACGTACACTTGTTCGAATTTGTTCCAATCACAATTCTTAGTTTACATTTTTTACCTCAAAACCCAAACCCAAGCAGTTATTATACCAGTGAGGGTAACTGATAGAGAATAAAAAAGGAAGTTGTATTGGCCATCGATTCGTGGTCCTTTAGGAGCGCACAATGCAGTGGTACAGATTCCAATCAGTAAGTGCGCAGCCCTTTTTCGATCCTATCTCGAGTCAGTAAACTCTTCGATTACTGTGGATTAGAAAATTGCCACCAGACTCATCTTAGAAGGTCCCATCGATCTTGAAGGACCTGAGACTGCCTGTGATGAACAGCCTCAAGCGGACAGTACATCTATCGCAATAATCTACGCAGAATCTACTGAACCAAAGTTCAACAACTTTCATAAAACTCGTAAAAGATTCACAATCCACACGCAAAACCAAACGGTAGGTGGACGGAAGGGAGCGAAACGAATGAAGGAAATGCTGGAATTGGCAGAATATGTGATGTCGGGCCATAAAAAGTGAAGAAAAAGTATATGCTCTTCGGTTACTTGGAAATTTGGCTATTTTCTCATCGATATCAAAGTTACAACAACAGCTTGGATTCCACTCGTTTTCCTGATGAACCGTTGAAAGTCTTTTTTAAAAATCCAGAAACCTTAAAAGTTTTTAAATCCACACCCAATGTAGACTGTTTTCTAGTGCTCTAGAAGAAGTCGCTCCCTTCCTCTATAAGAAAGACAATTGTTTCTCTGCAGACCAAATCAAAATATTTTTTATTTTATCCATCTATTTATTTTACTACATTATTATCATTCTATATTCTTATTTTGTCTATTTTCTAATCTATTTTTCTTTCAGTTTTCAGGCCGAATATTTCCATATGTGCTGCAATGAATATCAAAAATAAGAAACAACGTCTTCGCATCAACATGCTGAATGATGTTAAAGAAGGGAAGAATTCGCGAAAGCTAGTCTGCAAACTTGTTCAGTATATGGGTAAAGCTAGGGTTCATGGAGCGCAGTGAGTCGAGGTGCTCTTCAAAACCTTTTTCATTGATTCGACCCAGCTCCCTGGACAAACCAAGTCTTCCTTCGCTATTTCCTCACCAAATATAAGGTGCATTGGTACTCTTAGGGCGTGGATAAAAGACGAACACATGCCATGAGATATTCGGTTAATCGATATCTCGGTTTGAACTTCTTATTTCAATCACTACAGACTTTCTAGCACACTGTTATCTGAGCCTTTAAAGTGGAAAAATCACATATGGACGATGTCTTTTCCCACACAGTTCGAAACCTTTATGACAATTTTCCACTGCCCAAGCCCAGCAAAAGCAATCAAACAAAACAGTACCATAGCTTGTTAAACCAACCTTGAAACCATGTCCTTAGGATTTACCTGTTGTTTCTTTTAGAAACTGCAGGGCGTTTAAACTCATTCCAGGAGATTTCACAACTATGATTTAGAAGAACACAATATTTATAGTTCCCAGGATCGACTTTCTCTTAACCTCGGCATTGGAATATGAATGTGTCGTTTTCTTGTTCAGCAATCGCGAGGTTTTTAAACAGCATACAACTTCCTCATTGGAAGTCGCGAAAAAGCGGCTTTGAAGAAGGCGATACTGCCGAAACGTCAGCTAGCGATGTATTGTATTGTGTTTTTCTATGGAAGTAAATGTATGCTGTTTAAAAACCTCGCCATTGCTGAACAAGAAAACAACACAATATTTACATTTTATATGGATATACATAGTCACCTCCTAACGGTTTACCGCCTCATGGCGGGTGGGAGGTATTCCTAGGTGCCGGGCTGTGATGTACAGCGGGGGATTCGTTACCCCGGAAGGGTCTCCTAAGCTGAGAAGGAGTCCGGTGTTTCCATCAGGAAGCCTAGCTAAGAGTAAACCAATACCAGGATCCACCACCGTCCTGGTATCAAACTAGTCGCATGGTGGCAAATCTTCCTAAGATCCACAAAGGTGACGACTGTCTGTGGTGGTGAAGACCTGGGGCAGACTTTTGCCTGGCTGACCTCGGGACTTCAGGGAACCACAATGGCTTAACCAAGAAATTTCCGAAAAGTGGAGATTATACTGGGGCCCGCACAACCAGTGAGGACGGGCCGTTCAAGTTTCAAGTATCAAGTCACACGTAAAGTTGGAAGATCATCGTGGACAATGGATGCGAGGAAACGAATGTAAGAGGTGCTGGAATGCGCACAGTAGACGTGAAAACGGGTCATATAGGATAGAAAAAATGTATATACATACATGTTCGCATTTAATGTATGCATTAAAGTATTTTCTACGGAGTTAAAAAAACATCATGCTTTCAAGTGCTTTTGGGTGTCAATGTGCGATGTGGCGAAGGTGTTCATTCCATCAATTCGATCTCCGAAGGTGTAAATGACCCCGAAATTTCCACCCGGAATTTCAGCTAAGAGCGAAACATTGCGAGCTCCCACTACTATCGCTTCCATCGGCAACATTTAGGCATTATTTGCCAAGAGGTGAAGCTATCTGAACCTCTAGCATTGCTTTCAAACTTCAGAAAAGGAATATCTTACCAAATGAGTAAAATACTGGTCAAGCGCAAATATCATCGCGGCCCGTAATGGTCTTCGCAATTTATGAAGATCGGCCATCCGAGTAATCAAATAAGCAGAATCTCAAGATGATGTGAAGGTCAAGGATCGCCGGTGTTTTCATTTGGGAGCCATCAATTACACTATTGCCATTCGGTGGTGTGAGACGAGACGACGTTGCGTCATTGTTATGGATGAGAGAATAAGCAATAATGTTTTACCACTGACGAAGCTATTTGCTACTCTCTTTAAGCCGATTAAGCCGATTAGTACGAACCCTATGCATTAGAGATCCCAAAACCCCTCTAAGCAGCTCTTCCGCGACCACTTACTTCTATGTTTTCCTTCTTGTATTCAAAAGGTGATAGAATCCTACGAATATCATGCTGCGATTCTGCTGATAGTTCTCGTTTATTAATAGTCTGAAACCAACTTTATAAAGTATTCACAAAATTTATTCTCTGTTCTCTTTTTCTAATCATAGAACCTTATCGATGATTTCTACTTAGTTTTAACAAAGTCTTCCACTGACATTTAGAACTATGTCCATAAATGGTAGCGGTTGGCTACGGAGTAGATTATTATACATAACGTGCGCTAACGCTGACAGTTTCTGTATCCATAATGGAAATAGCAATCTTTTGCTTAAGTGTAGACAATTTTTAAGGGTTTGATAATTGGTTCTGAATAGTGATTTTAAGGCTAAACTGCCATAAAAAACAAGAATGGCAGTTTTCGGAATGAATGATGTCCACAAACGAAGGAGTGCAATGCAAAAAAAAGTTTGTTAAATCTATAAACATAGGAAAACCTGTTGGGAGTTAGAGGCCAATTCCGTAAAGTCTCTGTTGCTAAAAGGACACGGCATTGAATAAAGATCGTAGAGCGACTCAGCCGTTAGTCTACGCTTGTTGAGGGTCTGAAAGCAACGAGCGATATCAAACTCGGGAAAGCGTACGATAAACAACTAGCTCTATGTTTTCCACCTCATCGTCTTATAAATCATTTTTTAGCGATAGAAAAATATTTGTTGCGATGATAAATCACTGACGGACTAAATTATTTAAGGACTTTAATATTAATAGATATTCCAGGTTTTCGCACGTTTGTGATTGAACTAATGTAGAAAAAACGAGAAATTCTTCCAGTGATTTAAATTACCTTGACATCCTGCTCAGATTTCCTCGATGGTGAAGTTGCGAACGTTCCTTGGTTCTAAAAGGAGGTAAATGTTCAATTAAGAGGCTAACTTTTCGAAATCATTACATATCCGCCTATTGAACCGCCGCTGTCAGTTAGAAATCCGAGTCTTTTATTTTAGACATTCTATCAAGTAAGATTGTATAAAACCACTTAAAAGTCAATGCCAATTTAAAACCATATTTTACCTAAAAGGCTTACAAGAAGTAATTCTCGAAGTGACAAAATCCAGCTAGGAAATCAAGAAGGCTTATTCACTGAAATGAGCCACTGTACTTATCACAGAGGAAACCAATCACAATATGGCCCTGTTGCCCCTCCAGCATGATCCCTAGGCTTTATTTTCACTTAATGAACTAAGACATAGAGTAAATCAGAAGATGGAAACGTCCATGATGACAAGTATGTGTCCACCTAGAATAAAAAGTAGATTCTCTACCGTTCTAAGTTTCTCCTCACAGTGAATAACTCGACCTGAAGCAGTGGCTTCTGTCGCTATTTATAATACCGGTGAAATACTATTACGAACAGCTAGTGGAATGTATGGTCTATTTAATAAAAGGTAGTCGCATTTCAAGTGTTAAAGATTGAATCAATCTTCTAGGAAATCTCTTAAGACGACTTTTTCAAAGAGCTTTTTAGGCAGAGTTCCAAGAATCTCAAGCGATCATTTAAGCCACTTCCAAAAAAGGGAGTCTCACTGTTTTATAATGCTATTAGTTACAGTCACCTGGGCAACTACCAGCTTACCCAAAAGAAATTCGGTACCAACAGTGTTACTCACCAGCATGCACAGCTGATGAGAGCGAACTGGTCGTGTTCTACAAACAATTGGAAGAAGTAATTCACAATGAAGAATCCTATAAATTCATTGTCGGAGGCTTCAACGCCGTTTTAGGGACGGTCAACGAAACGACAGGATAAGAAAACTTGGAATAGAAGAACGAAGTGAGAATGAAAACTGCCTTGCAGGAACCCTATCCGCAGCACGTCTTTTCCATGGGAAATAATTTTTGAGAACACAAAAAGCCTCCGATAGACACCGGAGACTCCTAACGGCACGACTCGTGCGTCGATCGCTCATGTTTCCACGAAAAGGATTTGGTGTCCTCTCCGACATTTTAGTGTTACCTACATTCTGCACTGGGTCTGATCACAGCCTTATCCGTACGAAGATCCGATTCAGCCATAAGCTGGAAAAGAATCTGTCATGGCACAGGAAGAACAAGCAGATAAATGAAGTCCCAATTGAGCACTATACATTGCTTGTCGAATGACTTTAAACCTATTTTGAACTGGTCTCAGCTTCTCAAGCAAGAACTTCAGACTGTTTCTCCATTTTCACTAAGAAGTTGCTCGAAAATAGAAAGACACTGACGTTTGACCCTACTGTAACACATCTAACACTGCTGATAATAAATACCATCTGTAAAAGGTATTTGTAGAAGGATTTACATTTGTACAGTCATAAAGAGTTTTTGGAAGCAGCTCAAAAATGACCCAATCTGAAAAAGTGCCGTCAGGATCATTGCGACAATGCTCCGCCACATATCCTAATCAGCAAAGACTAGACTATCATTATATGCGGCTTTTATATGGTATTAGTAATGGATAGGATCTATAGCAATCTTTTCCTACCCACAATCTCTGTCTTGTACCCCGAAACTCCAGCTGGTGAAAAACCTACCAGGGTTCTATCCTCTGAAGTTCGAGTTGCAAACGAAAGCATGAGCAATGAGCAACAGCTCGAAGACTCGATAATATCACTGCCAATTTCCTGAGAGGTAGTGGAAATAAGAAGGATGACCGAAGAGGTCTTCGCAACTACCGTCCGATATGCGTGCTGAGTGTACTGTACAAGTTGTTCGTAAAGATTATCCTTCTGTACATGTCAAAGACCTTGGGTAAGGCACAACCAGTTGTGGAAGTAAGATTTCAACAAGAATTATGTTACAATATTTAACGTTTTGTTTTCTGCCTTCTATAATTTTCATGGCAGGTTACTAAGCGAAATACAACCACAACGTTGCTGAGATATTTGCAAAACTCTGGACCGCAGGTGTCTATAGTGAGAAACGAACGCGCTATTATCCTTTCCGGCGAGTAGCGCGTTCACCACCACACCATGCGGGACCTTCGTTTCGCCTGTCTCTCAGCTATTTCTATCGATCTTTTTGCCACAGCAATCACCCGTCAGCGGGGTTGATCTGGGGAGCGCAAATCGGCATAGAACCCAGTTAAGCTATGGCTGTAGTTGAAATCACAATGTTTAACAGGATAAAAGCGCATTCGTTCCCCACCATAGACACCTGCGGTCCAGAGTTTTGCAAATATCTCAGCAATGTTGTGGAATGATGTTATATGGACTACATCCAAACGTATGACGGGTCATAGAAATCAGTCGGCAGTAGCATCTTCTTCATGTCCTAACCTCTGTCGACAATGAGAAAGCGTTTGACAGAGTAGAAGCGAATGTAATCCTATCACCTCTTGTCGACCATGAACCGTACCTGTCCTATTAACGAACACTAGAAGACTTTGCTCGAAACTGCATCACGAATATACAGCTTTTCCATCGGCTTCTCTTCATACCCATAGGGAAAGGGTATCGACAGGGAGATACAGTATCGCAAGCCGTTGCGCTACAGTGGGTAGTGAAATCACTAGATTAGAACGAGAAGAGCATACGTGCTTATGGAAAATTCTTATCAAATCTCCGTTCTGCAGATGCTAACGTCATCTTTTCGAGGAGTACGAGTGAAACAGAAACAATGTTCAGTGAACTCAGAAAAGCGGAAAGAGACATTGGATTGCTCATAAATAGGACTAGTTCATTGGACAACTCAGTTCATGAAGAGCCTATGGTGCGAAGGCGATAGAATGGAACTGGATTATTCTCTGATTACAGAGACCACCTCGTATGTGCACTTTAAACGTTCAATGAACACCGAAAACAACATAAAGGAGGAATTAGACAGTAGAATGAGAGCACCATGGGCAGCATTTAGGCCTCTCAAAGAAGACACAGCCAACTAACGGACCCGAAACTCCGCGCTCACCATCTCGATTCAATTCAACAGTTCGCCCAGCGACTTGTAATGCAGTGGAATCGAAGGGTGATACCTTAACCACGTCAAGAAATCTACGCACCACGCACAGAGCGCTTGAACGCTGTCTTCTAAAATTTAATCTGCACTCACAAAGTCTAGTCTGAATACGCAGTCAGATCTACGAAACCTATACCATCTTCGTGATCCAGGGCATCTAACCATATAAGTATTAGTTATAGATCAAGTCGTGAACTAACCAGATCCGGCAATTTTGTTAGATCGGTAGCGGATTCCGTAGAGCGTAGGTACTTATTAACAGTCTAAAATCGAATTTATTAGTCTAGAAAGTGCACAAGTAGCCTTTTTTATTAAAATCCTAAGCGTCAAAGTCCCTAGTGATTTCAAAGTCGCACTACTTACACAAGACATTTATATAATTTGTTTGCAGTTCCAGTTACAGAGAGATGAAAAGTTGTGAGATGAAAATGAAGGTCGGGAAATGCCAGCCAGTACTGGATTGATCTTGCTATTAACAGCGTCAAATCTACTCAAGAAGATTACACTGACTTATTGGATATCAAGAGTTCATTTGCAAGCAGTGATCAACCAGAAACGGAGTGGTAGGTTTTACGAGTGGAAAATGAAGAGCAGTGTTATTTAAGTAGGCAAAGTGCGTTATCAAAGCTGTGGTAGGTGAACATAAAATTTAGATCAACTACTTCTCAATACGATTCTCTGACCTGTCAAAAATTGACTTTTTAGAATTATTGACACCCACCTCACTGGCATTTCGGCAAGAGATACTATTCTTGACAAGTTTCAACTGACAGAACTATCGTGTAAATTTGAAAAGGACAGTGAGTAAGAATGTGCTATTCTGCTTGATAGTGGGATGCGTGTAGAGCAGTGGTAAGAGGTGCGCTGTAACATACACTTAGTCATTGGTTCGATCTCGTGGCTGACCAAGCGATCAATTTATCAGGGGACCGCCAGATTGCTAGGAGGATAATAGCACTGAATTAATGCATCGCCGGATCACCGCAATTCATCGCAATGGCCAAGTATGCATTCGATCATCTCTAACCATACTAGATGGATTCGATTACATGACGCACCCCTCAGAGACTAATCAACGCTTAACAATTTATCGTTTTATTTTCACCATTTGACATCGAATACTTCCAATTCCGTAATAATGCCGTTGCCAACGAACGACAATGTGTCTCCGGCAAGATTCACAGACATGAACATTTCGTATAGTGAAAAAAGCGATAAAGCTCTCGGTGCTGATCAATTCCTGAGGGATGCACCATGCTTTCGACTTCATTAAGTATCGTTTGGAGGTGATTGAATGCATATCTGACCTTTACAATGACTCGCGGTGGCCTACCGATGTATCGAGCCAGTGCTGCTATCTTCCCAGACAAGTCTGGTGCCAATTTGCCGGTCCCGAAGGGATGGAGGGCTTGGTGGGGCATGGGCGCGGAGATCGATTCCACGTGTGTGTTGCAGGGCGCCTCCAACCATTGCGCCACACGCACCCTTTCGTATGGTAGAAATGAAAATGTTTCGAAGTTCTTCATTAGGGAGAGCACTTGAGCAAGCTATGACTGCTTGTAGTTGCCCGTGACATCCAGATTTCCTATTATCTACGAAAACTTAACAGCGGGCCAGTTTTGATTAATGGTTACTTATGTGGCCCGCATTTGCAGCCAGCATTTTGTGGCACCCAGGAAGCACTTTGCTACTTGGATTCATCGTCTTGCCACTGCCATAGATATATGTGGTTGAGGTTCGGAAGTGGGTTTGCCTGCTGCTTGGCGCTCTTTGATTTAATCCTCGATGCAAGTTAGTGAGAAACACTACGATGTAGGAATGTGAAAATCGAAATGACAAACGAGTTCTGGTGAAAAGTGAGAAATAGCCTGAAAAATAGAAGAAAACGTACAGGTGTATGAGTGAACTGGTTCGAACTTCCTCTCAGGAATTGCATTGATTCGTCAGGGTATAACTTCCCTCTATGCTGAAGAGAAAACTTATATCATCCGTTCTCATCTAATTCGTGTTAACTAGTAGGACGTTTTTGAAAGAACATTTATTGGATGGGAAATTCTAACCTCTGGTTGTAACACAGACGTATCTTGATATGGATTAGTCCCATTTGCCATTTTAAAAGCGCGTCAAATGGCTTTGGAAAATGTTATTGAATAAGTTTCGGGGGAAATTTCGTATGTAAGAAAAGCAAGCCTACTTCGTAGACTAGATTTTCAGGTCGACCTACACCACCACCAAGAGGCCTGGTGTGAAGTGAAACAATGCTTTAAACACACCAGCAGACTTCCTGTGTTTTGCCTTGTGATTAAAATCACCTATCACTAATTACTATCTTTCATGTTAATGAACATCTTATTTCCATTTGATGGGAAAGTTTTCGAAATTCGGTGTATATCATGTTCTCACTGTCTCCCCACTGCTCCAGAAACGATTTCTCCTTACGGAATCAAATATCTTCGTAGTTAAATCTCTTAGAATACAATTTGCCACACTTCGACTTCTTAAGAGCGCGTGTGGTGCAGTGGTTGGAGGCGCCCTGTGACGCACACATGGGTTTTGTTTCCATTGAAAACTTCACTTTGTGAACCATTTCTTGGAGAAGTGTTAGTAAACTAGCCGAAATCTGATTGAAAGGCGGTTTGAACTCTCTGGTGTGAAATATCTGAATATGTGATGCGAATCGGTTTCTATTGGGCTGGTAAGATTCATGATAACCATGGGCTTTATTATCACGAGTATTGAAAAAAATCGCGATAGGTATTCGATGTTGGTATTGGTGTTGTACATCACTATGGAACCTATTTGCCGTAACAATTTACCATATGATATGCTCGCCAACTTTTTCCAACACTCAGTCTGCTATGTCTATGAATTGATTGAAGTAATGCTTTCAAGTCGTAAAGATCGCATGGTTTTGCTTCATGAGCTCAAAATTGGACGCGAAGCGATGATAGCAGCGGGAAATCCTTCACAGACAGTGAAGGTAACGGTTCCCTATTGAAGATATGAATCTTCTTGATGGAGGATGTCATAGGCGGATATCAGTAACAAACTGCGACCATCGAAGCTCTATCTCCAGAAACTAAAAAGGATTGCATTAGAACTCACGGATCATCTTTCAACAATCGTTCGCCATTCGCAATACATTGGGTGGAGAAGCTGTATGAATCGATGCCTCACAAACTGAATGAACGGCAGTGGGATCGTTGTCACAAAGCCTGATGTTCCCCTACTTTATGCAAAAAGAAAGCTGAGGCGGGATATTTAATGATTTAGCCATTGTGGTTCCCTGGATCCCGAGGTCACTCTAGCCAAACCCTTCTACAAGCCGTTACCTCCCTAAACAGTTGCAGCCGTAGTGGATCAGATGGAGATTTCCCACTATGCGATTAGTTTGGTACGAGGACGGTGGTAATTCCCGGTATTGGTTTATCCCGGTTGGATTCTGGATGGAAATGTCGGACTCTTTCTCGTCTTACGAGACCTGGTTGGGGAGATGAACTCCTCGCTGTAAACCGCAGATCGACACCGAGGAACACCTCCCAGAGACGAAGAGGCGGTAAACATTAGATAGGTCGAAAAGTACTTCCAAGAAAAAGTACTCAACAACGAAATGGTTCCATTATTTGGGATTATTTTTTGGAACTTGCGCCAACTTTGCTTTTTTTATATCCGTCCATTCCATATGATAACCAGAAATCATCACGGTAACTAAAAGTGATGTAACAGTTAATTACCATCTTATTCTGGCTAGGTGTCCCTAAGTTCTGAATTCAGCTGTGGAATGTACGACTTGACGAACGAGCTCGTCCAAGGAGGATTTTTTTGTAAACTACGGAACGAATACGAAAATTGTAAAAGAAATCGCCATCAGATACGATAAAATAGTGGAAACATAGTGCATTGAAAACAATGCGCACTGCTTGCTGTGCGTGTACGCTATCTATTAGAGACGTATAGATATTATTACATTGCCTCTAAAAACCGGGTCTTTTCGACTTTTTACATACAGTTTCTGAGTCCATATGTTGTAAATTTTGAAAGAAACATATAGTTGGGAACATGTGATGCTGGAAAAGAAAGGAGAACTAGACGTTGTAAAGATTCGCCTTGATAAAGAATAAAGTTCTCGGCGTTGATCAATCCCCGAAGGATGCGCCATGCATTCGACTTCACTGAGCATTGTTGCAGATGAGTGAATGCATATCTAGCTGTACAATGACTAGAGGTAGCCTACCGATGTATCAAGCCGGTGCTGCTATCTTCCCAGACAAGTTTGGTATCAATTTGCCGACGGCGCAAAAAGGGAGCGCTTACTGAGCTTGGGACGAGGGGATCGATTCCATGTTTATTGCACGGCGTCTCCGACCACTGCACTTCACCCCCCAGAAAGTCTTAGCGAATGTAATGTCAATTCTTCGATATATACCTTCCCATGGACTACAAGATTTCTTAATGAAGCGCGGAAAAGCTGTCAACGCAGGTCGTGTATGTCTCGGTTTATCCAGAATATTCAAAACTCTCTTCCTAAAAAGGCGGAAATTCTTTGTCACTCACCAATGTCTGCGTGCATAAAGAACCGGGCGGATCGCTGACCAGAACGTACAAAGGACACCTTCTGAAGCTACTCAAGTACTCGGAGTAGACTGTTCACAGGACATTGGCACTTCCCACTATCGAAATCCCTCGTCTGTCACATAATTACAATATTCCAAAAGATCTTCACGCTATTATTCATACGAGAATGTCCCCAGTACACTTCGCTTTCGGAATGCCAGGGTTTACGGAAGGTACGTAATTTAGCGTGACACGTCACGTCACTCTACGGAACTGATTCCAAGCTTGATTTTCAAAATTCCTTCAACATCTGCGTGTTGTGCGATGGTTTGCTGTGATTACATTGGTCAGTTACAGATTCCAGTCCAAGCTGTGTTCCGCACTGTGCCTTGGAGGTTCCCACCAACCGCTTGTGGCCGTTGCTCTGACCCGTCTTCCACAGGATGATGAATTTTGAAGTCAGCAGCACCAAACGTACGTCACTCTCGCCAGTTTTACAATAGTGCTTTTTTTGTTGTGTATGATGAGAAGATTTCGTGTCAACTTCTGATTTTGTTTCCTTGAAGCCTTTCATTTCAAGAGATTGGAGTCGGCCTGACCGCGTTTGGCGTGTTTTTTATCTTTCTTGGCATTCTTATGTTTCTCGATGCCGCATTGCTAGCCATTGGAAATGTGGGTATTGTCTTGTTTGTTTTAGTTTTATAGTAGACTTGTGCCTTGCTACTGTTAAAATTCAACGGGTGCGTGTGGCGCAGTGGTGGGAAGCGCTTTGCAATGCACATGGGACCGATCCCCGAGCCCTTTGCCCACCAAGCCCTCCATCACTCCGGGGTACGCATATTGCTACTAGATTTGTCTAAGAGGGTAGCAGTACTGGTTTGATACATCGGTAGGCTGTCGCAGGTCATGTAGAGGCCAGATATGCATTCAATCACCTCCAACGATGCTTAATGAAGTCGAATGCAAGGCGCACCCTTAAGGGATTGACCAACGCCGAGCTTTATAGCTTTACAGCTTTATACTTTATCTTTTTAAATCTCAACGACATCGTACTTTGTATGTGAAGTTCTCTGTGCTTACTAGTTTGTAATTGTAGGGTGTCTTTTGTGAAGTGCTTTACCTTAATGTTCTTATGCGTTGCAAATGAACTCTACATGTGGTCCAGGTTGCAGTACTTTTCTTCCTATTTATTGCTGAACGTTTTGCTTATGGCAGAGATTTTTTCTTCTGATTGGAAATCGTGTTGTTTTCCGTTTTAAAAGGAATTCGGTTTAAAAGTATCCAACTGCTGTTTCATAGGGTTGACCTGCTACCTTAGACCTTACAAAGGTCATACGTGGGGCTAATTTTTCTGCTGCAAGCGTAACGACCCTTGAATTAGCACTTGCAAGAATTCTTGATGCACTGAGTCATACCCAATGTTTGCTATGCTTGCATCTAATGTCTTTCATAGTTTTTATGTCTATTTCATTGTTTTACTACACTATTTCAGCTTCTGTTCATAGTTGGAATCACCTTTGTGATTGGTATCCAGCGAACCCTTATATTTTTCTTCGAAGTTCGAAAACTGAAGGGTAGCATACTTTTTTTCGGCGGTAGGTTTCTCTTTCTGTTCACATAAAGTTCTCTCTGGAGAAAGTTTGTCGCAAGAAAATACTTACTTTTTACCTTTTGTGCCATGCTTTCGGTGACCGGTTAACTCAATGAGTTGGAATTGAAGGGATTTACAGGTATATTCATCGTTTTGTTTGGCTGGCCACTCTTCGGAATCATTGCTGAACTCTGGGGATTCGTTCTACTTTTTGGGTACGTGTCACATTGTTGTTGCTTCGAAGTTACATTGTTAGTTAAAGCCGTGTTTCAGTGGCTTTCTACCTGGAATTGTTAATTTGCTACGAAGTATTCCAGGAGTTAGCACTCTTACATATCTTCCAGGCATTAGGCAGGTTTGTTTGAGCGTACATAATGGAAGGTATTTAATTCCATGGTTATCTCGAATTTTCTTTTTTTTTGAATTTCCTACTAGTTTGATTTCTGACACATTAGGTTGTTCAGAAACTATTGCACGATTTCAAAGTATTCTTCAAAGTGGGCTATTGCAGAACAAAACAAACTGTACTAATCGAAATAAAGGACGCGTGAAGCGCAGTGGTCAGGAGCGCGCTATAATACACATCGGATCAATCCCGGCGCGCCAGGCTCATCAAGCCTTCCATCCCTCCCGAGTCGGCAAATTGGTACTGGCCTTGGCTGGCAGGATCGCAGCACTGCCTGGATACATTGACAGGCCACCTTGAGTCATTATAAAGGCCACATATGCTATTCAATCACCTCCAACGATGCTTAATGAAGTCGAATGCATGGTGCATCTCTCAGAGATTGATCGACACCCAGAGCTTTATCCTTTTATCCGTTTTAATCGAAGAAGACCGTTAAAATTTACACGAAGCAGGTGTATTTATACCATTTGCATAAAAATGGACCTCTGGAGGTGATGATTTTTTTGGAAGAAATATTATATTTGCCAAGCAAAGTTTTTACAAAAGAAAGCCTCTTGAAATTACCAGCACAGGGGATAGCTTTGACTCTGAGGGTCACTGCCCTCATCGTCCATCTATATCATTGGTTGTGAAATTCTGAAATCGCTTACCACAACTAAAAACCTAATGCGAAATCGAAAAGTGCCTGTGTCATTCGTCTTTCGTGTAGGTAGGTTTTTAGCTTATCGAAGCTGGCATAAGCAATCCAACGTTCTTAACGTAATTCGAGTTTCACTCAACGAGCTGTCACCGCTTGTAGTTAGAAAACTGTCGAAGGTTATCGCTAAAGATCCTTGGATTCCAGACGAAATTGGCACTTGTCTTTATTTTAAAAGGGTGTTAAATAAAGTCAAATTTCTCGTAATTGCTGTTCTGGCACTTCACTATTTATCATGTGGAACTTGTTAGGTATACATTTATATTATAATTCAACTATGTAGGGCGAAAGTGCATGAAATAAGCTTTGCACTGATGTACAGTAGCAGAGCACTCGATAAAGTCATAACTGGAGTATCCACAGAAAAAATAGGGCTACAGATGCTGGGTTAGTTTCCGTACAACCTAGTGGTTATCGAAATCAATTTCGTGCCGGCTCATGTTTTTTCTCGGTAACTTTTCAAAGACCTAATTTTCAGATTTTTGATCGACTAACACCGCAATCGAAATACCCCATCTAGGTTGATTAAGGTAAGCCATCTATCAGAAATATTACAGTTAGTAGAGTTGAGATATTGGCTTTGAAACCCTAAAATCTCGATGAACGAAACAGTAAAAGACACTAATGTCTTTGTCACGTAGAGGTATCGAGCATTTCAAGCTTTGACACTGAAGCTTATGTTACAAATAGTCACTGATTCGAATAAAATTTTCAGCATAACAAATTGAAAATTGATTTTACTATGAGAAAAGTAGGTTAACTACGAGATTTTCTGCTGTTGATGCAAATCTGCTCAAATCTTTTGTCTGTTGATTTTAAAAGATTATTTGAAGAAGGATCCAAGAGTAGAATATTTTATTTGAGCTGCCAATTATAGCCATATTTAGTGCCATAGTATTGTGCAAATTTGACCGCTCCTAGTAAATTAGCCGGATCAGTACACTCTATAGCTGAGTTTTTTGTTTGTTTGTTTAGTAAATCGTGCATTTATACTTAAAATGAGTCAAATAATATTAGCTCTTATGCACCTGAAGTGTGTAAACACAGCAAATGAATATTCTGCCTTATGACTTACAAATTTTCTGTGCATCCAATAATTTCCTTCCCGGCATTATATGTTATTCCCGCTTGCCAAGCAGTGAAATAAAATTGCTGTTGAAACGATTTTCTCATGTCATAGTTTCCTATCTGCCTTTATTCCCAATGTTGTGGTTAGACGGTGGCACACTTGAAATACTCTGGCATTTATTTATTACAACCTATTAGGTTAACACACATGGGTACGTGTAAGGAAGTGGTCGGGGCGCTCCGCAATACACAGATAGAATCGATCCCCACACCCGTGGCTGACCAAGCCTTCCATCCCTTGGCAAATTGGTACCAGACTTGTCTAGGAGGGTAGCAACACTGGTTCGATACATCGGTAGGCCACCGCGAATCATTGTGAAGGCCAGGTATGCATTCAATCGCCTCTAAACGATGCTTAATGAAGTCGAATGCATGGCGTATCCCTCAGGGTTGATCAACGCCGAGAGCTTTAGCTTCTATTATGTTCAAGTATTAAGTATTAAGAGTGGCTTGAGCACTATTTACTTCAAGAGTGTAAGTGTTAAATATCTATTCCTTTGTTCAGTTCCAGGACTAGATGTTCCACTGTACGCTCGTCTCAGCGTGAAACGGAGGTCAGATACCTCAATTCTACTTCACTGAGATGGTATTTGTCGATCGATTCTCTTTCTCCATTGTTGATGTATAGCTTTCTTTTTTACCTTATTGAGGTCAATGTTGTGAATTTCAAAGCAATTAGGATGTTTCTGAACGGCAGTTGCTTAATTCCTGGTTGACCTAAAATTGGTCGAATGGAGATGTTCACGAATGCAAATCTAGAAATACTTTATGTATTGTTTGAATGGGTGTTTAAAGTCGTATAATGTCTATGCGTGTTTTATATGCCATCAGAGAATTGCTGATGATGTTTTTGTTTAAATGTGGCTCTGTTGAATCTGATTTTTGAAAATAACATGTTGCAAATAAATAATTTTAGGATTTATTTGTTGCTTTGAGGGTAGACAACCTGGGAGCTCATTACTAAGGGGAGAAACAGGGGATTGCTAACCATTTCTTGATGGTGCCTTATTCCGAACTTAGCATTGCGATATCTGTCTTGATGTCCGGTTAGTAACTGGTTACCAGCGATGTTAGCTGCTTTAAGCAAAGCGCTCACTAGAGATTGCGACCCTGTTAGATCCAGTCTCTCTAATGCTTTTCTGGCTAATCATGTAAGTATTCTTTTTTCCTTGTTCATTTGGTAGGATGTCCAATTCGTGGAATTCTTTGAAGTAGGATTGAAGCACTTGTTTGGAAGAATTGATCACGTCAAATGATACTATTGAATTCTAAGGAAGGAGGTTAGGTGGGTTATCCCTAATGAAGTCACGAATAAACACTACGTGTTAAATAGGTTAAGGGACGAATGTGACCAGGAAGTGAAATAAGCGGTGTTACTAACTGGATATAATTAATGTAGCTTTTAGCTTACTAACTTGTCAGTGAAGTGGCTACGTGACAGCGATGACCGAATTCGTCAATGCATTGTTTCCTAGTGAAGGACGCCGTGCAGTCCGAACATAAAGTAAGCGTTAGAAGGACATGGCTTCACACGTGCCACATTTCTATGCGCCAAAATATGCTTCCCGTAGTGAGTAAGACAAAGTATTTGGGACCTTATTTTACAATTGTCGCAGTTTCCAGTTTGTTTTAGTTAGGAGTGTAGATGTGACTTATAAATAAAGGATAAAGCTCTCAGCATTGACCTCTGAGGGATATGCCATGCATCCGAGTTCACTAAACATCGTTAGATGTAGTTGAATGCATGTCTGGCTTTTACAATGACTTGTGATGGGCTACCGATGTATCGAGCCAGTGCTGCTATCCTTCCAGACAAGTCTGGTACCAATTTGTCCACTCCGGAGGGATGGAATGCTTGGTGAGCCTGGGCCGCTTGGACCGATCCCATGCGTAGTGCAGGGCGCCTCGGACCACTGCGCTATACGCGCTCTCTAGAAATGGCTTAGGTCTGCAAGATTTGCATTACCGGAAGATTGGTCGTTATGGAACTATAGGAAATGAATACATGGTAAGTATGTCATAATGAGAGCGAATTGGCACCTCTCCGGAAATTTTGCAAAATATTTTGCTTACTAAAAAAAAAAAAAATATTCGATTCTGCCCCGGGCTCACCAAGCCTCTCATCCCTCCAGAGTTGGGAAATTGGTACCGGACTTGTCTGGGAAGAAATCAGTCTATGCAATCCAATTGGGAATGCTCTAGCTCGGCCATCTCAGAACATCAGGGAGAATCGATTCGACCGGCATTCAACGACATTCACAGTGGAAGGGAAATCCTCAAGCAGCCGAAGCCACGCGTAAAAGTTGGAAGGACTTCGTGGATGACGGATGCGAGGAACGATCCGTACAGTACATATGAAAGACAGATCGTATAAGAAAAGACTTTAGAAAATATGAACTGGAAACTTAAGATGGAGCAGGTGACTAAGACAAGACGAGATAATTTTCGCTCTGTGATGTTCTCCACTATGGATTGTGCAAATTGTCACACTTGGATTAATTAACGTAATGTTCCTGTTTTTCTGTTCACTCCTTTCGACGTCGATGAAAGAACGGATGTAATCTGCTGTGCATAGAATATCACGAACTTGTAGTGACTACTTCGACACCTAGATGGCCCGTCTTCACTGGTATTACAGGCCATCACATCATTCAGAAGTACCACCCCTGACAGGACGATGAATTACTAGGTGCGGAGTGAGAATAACTTGTTGTTATTCACTTAAAGAAAAGTGGTTCCCAGTGTAACTGTTGTCAAGGGACGCATCACATGTATCACCTATCGTCCCATTGATCATCAAGTGACTCGACAGGACGCCAGTAAATCTTCCATCCTTTCATATCCCGTGCAAGAGTAGCCCAGTGGGTGCTTCTCTCCTTAGGGACTCGCTGAGCGCCATACCTTTCCTCTAGGCTTCTCATTAAGAACTCTGACCATCGGGTCGGTGGTCTTCCTCCAGTACGTTTGACATCCCAAGGAATCCAGTCACCAACGGCTCTTGTCCATCGGTTGTTGTTCATACGCATTACGCGTAACGCATTACGGTCCTTCGCATTACGTATACGTGTCCGGCCCACCTTATCTTTGAGAGCTTGGCGTATGGAATGGCATCTTTGATTTTTGATCGATGACGCAGGTCGGGGCTTCGAAGCTCTTCCGTTGCTTGTGTGAATCGAGATACTCCTGACACCGTGCTTTCGACTGCTCGTTCAATAACACTGAGCGATCTTTCATCCTTCTGACGCAGCGACCACGTTTCTGACGTATACGTTAAGGCAGGAATATCTTGGAGTGCAAGAGGTACGCACGGAATAGGGTGTTCTTTGTTTTCTTCACTGCATCCCCGATGCTCTTGAAATCTCTCCAAGCCGCTCGCTTTTTCCTGCTCAATTCTGGAGCTAAGTCGTTTACCATGTTGATTTCCCGACCTAAACACACGTAACTGGAGCATTCTGAGATATTCATTCCATCGAGCGTGAATGGGGCATACGAAACCAATCCGTTCCTCATGAACATCGTTTTGTGAGATTTAATCGAAGTCCAATCTTTCCATAGGCTTTATCAAAGTCGGTGAGCATTCGTTCCACTTGGCTAATATAATAGATGGTTTCCAGTTATAAGTACGAAGTCATCAGCAAAGCCAAGATGGTGTAGTTGCCGGAAATCGATTTTCACTCCCATGTTGTTCCATTCCAGTGCTCGCACGATGTTCTCGAGGATGGCGGTAAACAATGTTGGCGAAATGGTACAGCCATAGCTAACCTTTCTTTTGACGTCGACGTTAATACCGTTGTAGAGTGATGGTGTCTTGGTTGTGAAATATTTCTATAGCTCATGAAGAATCTTGATATACTGAGTGGAGACTCTGTGGTGCCCAAAATTTCCATGATTCTATCTTGAATCAATTGCTTTCCTTAAATCGATGAAAGTGAGGCATAGCTGTCTCTTGTCCTCTGCTGATACTTCGATGAGTCTTGTTGTGGTGTGTATGTGGTCCATCGTACTGAATCCTATTCGAAACCCTGCTTGCTCATGTGGCTGTTCTTCGTCCAGTATTGTGTCAATCCTACTAAGGATGAATCGAGTGAAAAGTTTGTAGACGACAGACAGCGAGCAGATTGGTAGTCACTTGCCGATATCATGGAGGTCTCTCTTTTCGAACAAAACACGGTCTTGCTGGTCTTTCATTGAGGCACCATTCATTCAGACAGGTAACGTGTGAACAGCCGAGCCAGTGTGTTTACGAGGACTGGCGGAAGGTTCTTCAGATGTTCTGGTCTTGCCCTGTCTGGTCCTGGTGCTGTTGGATTTCTCACCGACGAAAAGGCATCTCTGATTTCGGAAGGGAGAACCGGTGGTGCAACATATCCAACTTTCTTTATTTCATATGAC